ATAAGTTTCGAGAGAGATATAGAATGCAGCCACATTTGTTCCAAAAAATCATGCATGATATTTGTAATTACGACACATACTTCATTCAAAAGCAGGATGCTGTTGGAGTTTTGGGTCTTATCCCGGAGCAAAAACTTACAACTGCTTTGCGGATGCTTGCTTATGGGGCATCTGCAGAGCAGGTGGATGAGATTGCAAGGATGAGAAAATCTACTATCCTAGAGTGCTTTGTGAGATTCTGTGATGCAGTGGAAAATTTGTACACGAGGGAGTACCTTCGCAAACCCACGCCGAGGGACCTGCAAAGGCTTCTACAAAAAGGCGAGGATCGAGGTTTCCCAGGAATGATTGGAAGCATCGATTGCATGCACTAGCAGTGGAAGAATTGTCCTATTGCTTGGCAAGGAGAGTACGGGAATCGGAAGGGCCAAAAAAGTATAATTTTGGAGGCCGTAGCTTCATTCGATTGTTGGGTTTGGCATGCCTTCTTCAAGGTTGCCAGATCTCAGAATGACCTCAATGTCCTTGGTCAATCCCCGGTGTCCGACGAGGTATTGCGAGGTCGTTCCCCCCAGGTCACGTACCAAATCAACAATACCGTATACTCGGGTGGGTACTACCTTGCCGACGGAATTTATCCTAGGTGGAAAACATTCGTGAAAACAATTCCGAATCCCTAATCCGAGAAGGAAAGAAGCTTTGCTTCCTTTCAAGAAGGTTACAGGAAAGACGTGGAGAGGTGTTTCGGTATCTTGCAAGCTCGTTGGGCAATTATTAGGGGTGCTGCTCGGATGCTAAATGAGGAGGTGTTGCGGAGTATTATGATGACTTGCATCATCCTCCACAACATGATTGTGGAGGATGAGTATGACTACCCAATCCCATGAACACGGCGTTGACAAGAATATATGAAAGGCCGATGGGACCAAATGGACTACCAATGGAGCCCGAACCGTTACTTCGGGATGGTCGATTCAACAACCCCATGATTGATCGTTATCAAGAAATGCAATCTTCATATGTTCACGAGAGACGTCAAGATGTCAAGTTGACTTGATCGAGCACTTGTGAGAGATGAAAGGCAATCACAATGGATGAAGTCAAGATTAGTGCTTTGTTTGGAATTATGCTTTGTTTTTAATTATGCTTTATTTTTTGTGTGGTGTTTTTTGGAATTATGCTTGTTTTTATTATTATGCTTTTATGTATGGTTTGTTTTGTGTGTTGTTTGCAATAAATTAAAGTTTGTTTTTAATTAATCTTTGTTTTGATGCTCAAATGTTTTTAATAAATAGTCATATTATTTAATGCTTTTTTATTGAATAAAAAGGAAACAATACAACAAATTAAAGGATAATACAACAATACAACAATACAACATATGACAAAGGTGTTTCAATACAACCTAATAGTTTTCATCATTTAACCAATCCGTATGGCTAGGTCCGTCGTCTTGGAAAAGTTTGTATGGAGAATTGGTGTGGAAAGTGAATAATGTGAGTGGAGAGTAAAAAATATTGGATGGAGAAGAAATTGTATGAAGATTTGGTGTGGAAAGTAAATAAAATGGTTAGGTATTTATAGGGAAAAAATAAATAATTTTTTGGTATTTTTTTTATTAAAAAAAATTTAGAATTGTTTCGAATTTTTTTGCAATTTTTTTAGCCAAAAAAACGAGGACCGTCTGATTTCTGGAAAAAAACCGATCGGAGAGTCCCGGTTGCGACACGTGTCACATGCCCGTTGGAGTCTGTCAGGGGCGACATCAGCGTGACATCACCGCTGATGTCACCGCCCTCGAGCTGAAGCCCAAGCGAAACCTGCCCTTGGGCTTGCCCGGGCTTGTTGTCGCGCGCTGGAGCTCCCTTGGGCTTGGTCAGGGGGCCTTTTGCCCGGGTTACTGGCAGCGCTGGTGCTGCTCTTAGCCTTCACGGGTGGACTTGCTCTTAGTGGTGGGAGACTAGAGAGACTTCAAACTTGGTCCAAAAAATTTGTTTTTACTTGTCTAACAAATGAGCTTATTTGGTGCAACCCCTCAACGGAATATTCTTCTCCTGGCGGCATGAAATCTCTATATAGTGCCTTAAAATATTATTAGAGTTTTCAGAAGAAAGTAAATATTTTTTTTAATGTGAAAGGAGATTTGAATTTGTGATATTTTTTTTATAAAAAGTATGGTTTATTGGTGCAACTGCATATACTTTTTTCTTTTTCTTTTTTTATTTAAGTAATATTGAGAGAGGGGGGAATTGAACCTAGGATCTTTGGTGCAGGGGTAAATGCTCATAACCACTTGAGTTACAAATCCCTCACAACTGCATATGCTTCTTAATATAATATTTTGGGTTCTTCAAGGAAAATATTATTTTGAAAAATATACTCTTTTTTAAATACAAATGATAATCTAAATTACTTTAAATTAATTTACTTTATTGGAATTAAACTCAAACTCAAGAGGCTCAACTCTACCTTAAGAGGCTGACATAATCCACTTATGCTTAGAGAATGTACTTAAAACTATCCAAAATGAGATTCCAATTTGCGTTATTTTCTTAGAAAATAATTATAATGTTTGGGGCTTGGCCACCACGCACCACCTTGTTGTTTTCTTTTGCTGATTGTGCCAAAAGCTTCATTGACTTAGCCGCAGAGAAGTTTGAAAACCATGAGACGTAATTGACTTGGACAAAATGTGTGGCCAATTTTGAGACGTAAACTTGATTAATCTCCAAACATATAATAAGTTGATGGTGGTCTTTTCCAATTTAGAAACAAATTACTTGTGGAGATGTCATATGACAGAAGCCCGTCTTTTACAAAGGCAAATTAAACATTTGAAGTTTCTGTTTGTTTTAATGAAACAGAAATTCAATACTAGTTCTGTTTGAGAACTGTGGAGAAATAACACTAAATCCGTAGCTAATTGGTAACTATAAATTAAATAATCAATGGTAACTCTCTCTCTCTCTCTCTCTCTCTAATATTATTGTAATGTAAGTAGAAAACGTAATTAGTCGTCTTCATTGAAATACAGTCAACCAAGACAGCCAGCCGCGGCCATGGTATCTTGCTGATCAAGAAAACTGAAAATATTTTTCAACATATTTTTCTTTTTATGAGTCAATACTCATAAAACTTAGTTTTACCTTAATTTATGAGTCAATACTCTTTCGTTTATGGTCCTTTAAAAGGAGGTGGAGGGTGTAGGTTGTTGATACTTGTGTGTGTTGAGAGAACTCACATACCAAGCACAAAACTTGCCACAATAGAAGAAGATATGGAGAGTTCTTCTAAGCTCCCCCTTCATCTCTGCCATGTCCACAAGCTATCAATCTTCATCAACCGGACACATATATTCTTCCACTCTATAGCTTTAGTCTTCTTGCTTTACTACAGAGCTTCTTTCTTCTTCTTCCAAGACACTACCAAAACCAAAGCAACCACCTTAGCATGGCTTCTTGTGTTTGTCTCGGAAATCTTCCTATCCTTCGAGTGGCTCCTCAGCCAGTCTTTTCGATGGCGTCCCGTTTCGCGAACCGCTTTCCCAGAGAGGCTGCCTGGCGATGATAAGCTCCCAGCTGTTGATGTGTTCATCTGCACTGCAAATCCGGAGAAGGAACCAACAGTAGGGGTGATGAACACTGTGTTATCTGCCATGGCAATGGACTATCCGCCAGAGAAACTTCATGTGTATCTGTCCGATGATGGTGGAGCTGCTGTGACTTTGAAAGGTATGAGAGAGGCTTGGAGGTTTGCAAAGTGGTGGCTTCCATTTTGTAGGAGGTATGGGATCAAGTGCAGGGCTCCGGAGGCTTATTTCTCTGCAGAAGAGGAGGATGCTGATTTTGGCGGCAGCGAGTTCATTCAAGACAGAGAAGATATTAAGGTGAATGAGAGTTGAAATTTTTGCATACTAACCAACACAACATTTTATTACTTACAAAGCTATATAATTAATTTGTGCATTAAATGAAAAAGAAAACTATAACATCTAGTGTCTGATTTTTCTCATTAAAGTCGAGTTAGCTGTATATGACCGATTCATTAGGGAAATGATATACAAAATGAACAGTTGATATGTGACAATATATTATATATTAAATTAATGGTGTTTCTAGCTACCAGAGTTGACGGGGGAGATTTGGGTGCAGGAGAAATATGAGGTGTTTAAGAAAAGAGTAAGAGAAAAAGCAACGGTTGGGTACACAAGGAGCGGACTGGGTCGAGATCACCCTGCAGTGATTGAGGTATATATTAACATTTGGTATTGTTTGTTGACTAATTTGGTTTTGATATATTATATATATATTTTCATTAAGAATGAGGGGCAAGCTATATATATATATATATATTATCATCAATGTAAAGAAATCTTTTACTTTTACACCTTCTTCTAAATAAATATCAATGAGTTTTTAGGCTTGGTGGTGACACTTGTTTTTTTTAGCAAGTTAGTATTAAAAAAAAAACGAGAGTCAAACTCTAATCAAGCACGTAGGAGCAAATATAATTTATAAATAGAGCTATATATAAATATAATTTATAATTTTTGGGAATATGTTGAGAGTAAGCCAAGTTTCCAAGTTCTTCTTTGGTTTGCCAACCGACAAGTGTGCATTTTCCTATTTTGTCCTTTACTATTGGATATATATAAACGCAGCTAGCTAGATAGAAAGCATTCCATTATTCCATACCGACACAAAAAACAAAAACAAAAAAATAAAAATAAAAACAAAAACGAAAGGAGAAAATATATGTCCCCACCGCTAACATAAATTCATGATCATAACCGATAACTGGACGTTTGGCAGGTTATACAAGAAACATCCAGTGATGATGCAATTCAAGAAAATGAAACCAAAAATATGCCTCTCCTTGTTTATGTTTCTCGTGAGAAAAGGCCTTCTCATCCCCATTATTTTAAGGCTGGAGCGCTCAATGTTCTTGTATGTATCTCTCTATTTTTTGCTAATTATCTTACATTAATATTCTCTTATCAAATATATATAGTATGTTACGTATTACCAAAGCTCAAACTAATAATTCATTTTATTATCGACGCAAAGTGACAGTTTGACAAAACTTATATATGCCCGACTATCTAATAAGTGAACAATTTTTCTACAAATCCATGTATTTATTTATTTATTTACGTGTAAATTAATATGTTGTGTACTTATATGTTGTTTTTCAGCTACGGGTCTCTGGTGTGATAAGCAATTCTCCTTACATATTAGGGCTAGATTGTGACATGCATTGCCATGATCCAAGTTCGGCTCGGCAAGCAATGTGTTTCCATCTTGACCCAAAGATATCACCCTCCCTAGCACTTGTTCAATTCCCTCAAAAATTTCACAACATCAGTAATAATGAT